AGAAATTGCATTGAGTTGAAAGCGATAGTTTTCATAAATGTTCGGTTTGATACTGATATACTACCAAGTAACGTCAATAAGCAGACTCTATTCAATTCGCTTTTTCTTTTCGTGTGTTTTAAAAAATCAGCAAAATTAATTTCATTTAGTTTGTACAAGATTATAATTAATTAATTCATTGTAGTCAATGTTCTAAAAATGTCAAGTTTGTTAAAGCGGTCTAGAGTTTTATACGTTAATTAATTATTAATTTCAATGTTTAACAATGTTTAAGAGACGTGAAATTATATCATTGACATGTTTTTGTAAGATGGTACTTGTTTGATTGAGAATATCAATCTTGAATTTGATTTTTTTCATTTAAGCTTTAGACGGATTGAATTGTTTATTTGAACTCTTTGGGTTCTGATACCTAAGATGATATATGAATTTCATCTTTAAAAAATCAACCTTATTATAAAAATAATAGTTCGAATTTTGAGTGTATCCTTAACGTCATTAATTTGGTATGAGATTGGGACTCCCATTCATAAGGGTAAGCGAAAACGGGGATTGTATATTTTTGTCCTCGCTCCATTTTGCTTTGGAGAATCTTGTACGATAAATTTCCATTGGATGTGGCCTTGCGGAGTCGAGGTTTCACTTGTCCTTCTAGTTGCAAGCTATGTCGCGGTGCAATGGAGACTTCACATCACCTATTTCTAATATGTGTCCTTTTGTCATGGGGTCGTGAATTGTTCTATTGTTTGTGTTTGGGCTGGTATTATTCTTGACCTTTGGTAGGCTATGATGAGAGATTCTTTTAGCTCTTGAAAAGGCCCACAACACAAGATATTAAAACTTGATTCCAACAAATATCAATAGATCAGAAACTTGCAGCAAATTAAAAATTGAACACAAAAGATTATTTCAACCTAAGCCCAGGAGATTCGGCCACGAGATCTAACGCCGATATCCCCTGTTGAGCATCCAAAAATTGGATGTCTGCTCGGATGCACTATTAAGCCCAAAATTGGCAACAAGTTACAAAATGTTCTTCCAACACAAGAGAAAAGTACGGAACACTCATCTCTTCTACACAAAACTACATATCCTTAAGGAATCACACAAGAAACCCCACAATAGCCAACTGAAAAACTTGACTGCAAGAAAACCTTTATACTCACAGCAATCACTTAGATATATAGATTATAGAGGCTATCAATTAATATTATCTCAATTTACAAATTCATCATGAGAGATGAAGAACACAAAAGACAAACCCTAATCTATAAGAATAGGTTACTCTCAGAAGAACTAAGAGGACGGAAGAACTCAAAAGGTAGAACCAAGTGAAAAATATCTGCATTGTGTACGTATATATATTTCACACCATCAAGGCAATAATCCAAGGGCCAGAGATAAAACACATGTCAACATCTCATAAAAGACGCTTCATTAAGAAAAACGTAATCAACCAAAACACGACTTTAAGCCAATTTCTAGGAGCACATCATAGATCAATGGTTTGAGTCTCAACGGCTCTCAACTTCGGGCTCTTTGGAGAGCTTCCATTGCTTCAGTGTTTTGATCAACTTTTGCATTGGGACGTAGCTCTTCTTTGGTTATATATCATAGAGGCACATATTTTGCACATGGGGTACTATAGCGAGCTTGATGGATGAGTGGTTGATCTTGTGCTGACTCTACCTCCTGGATTGGCCTCCTAAGGCCCCTCGTAGTTTGGCATCCTCGTCTCCCGTGCTGACCTAATGTCAATATGGATGGATCGACTTTTGGGATTCCATGACTTCATGATTGTGACGGAGTTTTCCGCACTTACGGGGCTTCATTATAGGTGTTTCTCTTTCACTTAAGTGTTTGCTATGTCTTCGTGGTTGAACTTGACAATGCTAACTTTTCCACTGACTATGCTTGGACCTATTGTTGGATAAAATATAGGTTGGAGAGTGATTTAATTTACAATCTTGCTATATGTACATCCTGGTTTACACCCTGACTTATCGAATTTACACCGACACAATCTCACGTGCACTTTTCACGTCTCACATATTTAATCCAACGATTATAACACTTCCACGTCATCAATATGTCAAGAAAGGTATACAAATAGTTTAATCCTTCAATTTATTTGGTAACTATACTGTGTTCTTGATCAATCTCTAGAAAGTTCCTTAAGAGGTTGTGCCCATCTTAAGATAGATGTCTTTGTAGGCTTCCTCAAATGGACAATGTGGTTGCTCATATCTATCATGAGAGAGATAGGGTGGCGAATTATTGGCGTCCATGCCCATATCATCATCTCTTCTACCTGATAATGGACAAATCCTAATTTTATTTCCTCCCCAGTTCGGGAGGATATCTGTTACAAACCTTGTTACCGATTTTGTTGATTTTTATTGTCAACAACCTTGTGCAAAAAAATAAATAAATAAAAATTGACGAATCATTACAAACCTTTGATTAAAGAATGCAGGGAGTGGTAAAGTCTATAGGATAATTATATTCACATAACGTTTTGTTAACTGCACATATTTTAGAGTCTGTTTGAGTTTCATTTTTTGTCCAAAATCTTAAAATAGTATTTTGATGGAGAATGTGTGATTAAAAAAATAAGAAATTTTTTTGAGCTTTTATGTAATATTATTTTATTGAAAAATGCGCGGTTCAAAATAAGGAAGAAAAAAATATATTTTGAAAATAATGGGAACTAAGCAAGGGCTTAATTACAATGATGGCTCCTAATTTATGCTCATTTTAGGCCTTTTGTTATCAATTTTTTTCATCACATTCTTATTTATAACTTTAATTAATTGTTGCATCTTATCTTTGATGGCGATTTTTGTCCAACAATCCGTTAGGATGGAGAAATTTTTATATCAAAATTTTTTATATGCAATTTATCTTGCTTATTTATAAATATGTGGGAACAAACAAGACTATCGATAACTGTCATCAAAAGCAACGTGTGCTAATTAATAGAAAGTTAAAAATAAAAATACAACAAAAAAGTTGGGAACATTACTATGAAAATGAGCAAAAATGGAGAACCTTCATTATAATTAAAATTTAATACATTTAGCTCATATTTGATGTAGTTAAAAATTAGATTTTTAATATATTTTGATAAAAATTGGTGAAATGTGTAGTGCAGAGTAGATGAAAGTTATGAGTTCTGTGAAACGTGTGATAAAAATTAATCGTTAAATTTAACTTAAAATTTTATTTAGCTTTTATGCTACACCAAATAGGAACTTAACAAAAACGTGTTGCCTAAAAATATAATTATCAAAATCTATATTTTAACTTCAATTTACCCTTATCATCATTAATTTGGTTTTAGAGGCATTGAAGAACTTTGACTAGAGAAGA